CGACCACAGGCTGGAGAGGTGGTGGTTTTGGAGATCCTGGCCCTGTTGGGGTCAAAGGCCCTTCACAGGGGTCTGCGTGGATCAAGAAGCCCCCAGCTCCAGAGTCAGCATTCACCCCTGCAGAATGGGGCTTGTGCAAGGTGCTGGTGTGAGTGATCCGTGCCGTTCCCTCCTGCGTGTGCTTATGGAAAGGAAGGAGCTGGGTGGGGTGGCGAGCGGGGAGCTGTTCCCGCTCCAGGAGAAGCACCCACTTTGGGGACAAATAAGAACGGTAAAGAAAGGCGCTGGCCCCAAAGGCCCAAGTCCAGCCACATTTCCTTTGCAAACAAAAATGTCCATTTTCCCGACATTTCCACCGTCACCCCCATATTCTGTCCCTTACTTTTCTCCATTCACTGGTTTAGCCCTGCGCCTGGCATTTCTTTTCCAACCAGAAGTGGGGTTATCTTTCTCACCATGGGGTCCCCCGGCTGGAGCCTGCTCAGAGGGTGTGGCCTGGGTGGTGGGAGGAAGCCAGTGGGAGACAGGCCCTTGGCTCCTGCCTGCAGGGCCCCAGGCACCCAGAGAACAAAGGCTGGGGTCAGGCAGGCCGGGGTGGGCAGGCTGTGGGCCGCCCTTGGGGGCCCCTGCTCCCTGGCTGGCTGCCTGTCCCTGTGCCAGGGCCCCACAGGGTGTGCCTGGGCCCCAGGGCGGGCAGAGGTGGTTGCAGAGTGGGGGCCCCACGGCCTGCTCCTCCCGGTGACTCAGCCCCACAGCAGACCTCCCCAGGGAAGACAATGGAGGCTTGTGGGTGTCAGAAAAGCCTCCAGCAGGTGCGAGCCCCAGGGTGGACTGGGCCCCAGAGAGGAGCTCTCTGAGCCTCGGTTTCCTTGTCTGCATTCTGGGCTCACTCAGGTAGGAGGATTTTACAGCCACACAGATGGCTGGAACAAGGCTCATTTCCCTCCTAAATGGAGGCTCTGAGGTCCCACAGAGGCCAGGGACGGGACAGGTCATACCGCCGCTGTGTCCCAATGCCTAGCACTGAGCCGGGCGAAGTCAGTAACTGCTGTGCACGGATCACTACCCCACCTGGGAGGCACTGAGGCCCACTCCAGGAGGGATATGGGCCCACTCTACAGTCTGGACCCTGAGCGTTGGCTAAGTTGGGCCACACTGAGTGGGGCTAGGACCCCTGAGAGGCCTGGGCTCTGGACTGATTCTGGAGAAACCTCCAGACTGGGGGAAAGGCAGAGCTGCCCGCAGACCTGTAGTTTCGGGGTTGGGCCACCAGAAAAGGTCAGGGGCCCTCACTGGAGCCCAGGCCCGTCAGGGTAGGGATGAGGGCGTGAGCTGTGGGTATCTGTCCTGTGCCCATCTCTGTGTTTTCTTTCTCCTGATGGGTAAACGGAGGCCCAGAGAGTGCCAAGAATCTGTCCAGGGTTGGTGTGGCCTGGAGGGGTGAGGGAATGGAACCCACACCCCTCCTCAGGTCTGTGGGGGCCCCTGGGTCGGAGGGATCAGCTGAGCTCTGCAAAGAGGGTGTAGAGGGGAGACTCCCGGGTTTTGGGGAGGAGCCTGCGGAACCCCTCTGCCTCCGCAGGGTCCTTCTGCTCACGTCTCCCCCCAGGACCCCGACTCCTCCTCCTTCCTTCAACCCTGCTCCAGGGTGCAGCACTGAAGAGAGGTGACTGGGGGTTCCAGACGGAAGAATATGGACTGAGCGCACAGCACGGACAACAGCCCAGGGACGGGGATGAGCCTGGAAAGGTCCAAAACAGTGAGGACGCTCGGGTGGCCAGAGGCTGGTGGGCGGGAGGAACGGTGGCCTCCTTCCAGGTCTGGAACGGGGCGTAGCAGCCCCTAGGGGACACAGGACCACAAAGGCTGGTGCTGTTTCCACTGGTATGGCTGTGCCTGTTCTGCAGCGCCCGTGATCTTCTGCAGCTGAGAAGCCCCTGCGTGTCGGCGGGGCTGGGGGCTTGCGGGTCAGACCCAAGGGAGCACACAGACCACCGAGAATTTCCTGGTTTGACCCTAGTCCCGTCCAAATTCAATTTCACAGATGAGGAAGCCCGGACTCGGGCAGGCCAAGGCAACTGGCAAGTCAGCGCGGCCGGTTCCCCGTGCCCTCTGACCCTGGCACGCAGCTGGCCCCGGTTGTTCCCGCCAGTTATACAGGTCTGATCCCAGCGGGCTGGCAAGCCCGCTCGCAGCACCCTGCGCCGGGACCCTGTCCTGAGAACACAGGTACAATCTGACCACTCGGGCGGTCATGCAAACCTGAGAATCAAACTCCAAGGCCCACCCCTCCGCTTCTCGCGGTCTAGCTCGCAGAGTCCCGCCTCTTTCTTCGCTGGTCGCGCACGGGGGGCGGGGAGGAGGCGGGGCCTTATCGCGAATGGTCGGCGGTCCCGCCAGTTAGGTTTTCACGTTATGCGATTGGCCGTGAGCTGTCGGCCTTATCTTTTCATCTCACGGCCTGTGCCGCTTGCGTCATGGGGACTGAGTACATCGAGAGTGCGCCTCCGCGCTGGGATATAGTCCCCTCATCGTTTGTCCGCAAACTCTGCGAGCCCCGCCGCCTCCATATTCCAGACCCCGCGGGGCAGCGCCCGCCTCCTTCCGGCGCTCGCGAAGCCGAGGCGTGGGCCACACGGACGGCGGCGGAGGGATCCGCGCTGGAGCCGGGCGGGGCGCGGAGAGGGGCGGAGCAGAGGCGGGCCCTCGAGGGGGCGGTACCGAGCGCGGGG